TCATTAGAATACACTTGTTCCTGCATTTTGCATTTCTAACTTATGAATCCCTTGATCGTTGGAAGAATTGTGTTAAATTTGGTGGAAGTGGGCCCTGAAAAGACTTGGGGCTCTGGTTTTAAGGCCACAAAACCTGAATTTAATCTGCAGTGAACTAAACTGCGTCTCTTAACGGAGCCAGTTTTGTTGTTCTAATCAATTGGCAACATTTCTGTGATTGTTTTTCATACCCAAAGGATACCGAGGTGCTTCATGTGTTAGAGGGGACCCATTTCATCACCCACCTGTGTGACACACAGCAGGCTTTTAGCCTGCAGTCCCACTACAGAGCGTATTAAATGGTGAATGCGGTATTCACCAGTTGAATAAGGGATAAATACAGGAAGTCTAGATTGTAGAAGCCAGTTATGCACTTGAGCCAGAACAACTTAAAAGCCCCACTTATGTGACCAAGTAGTGGCAGTCTCGGTTTCACATCTTGTCTAAGGGATGGCACCTCCTACAGTCCAGTGTCCTCTGCTGCCAGACTGGGCGTTACTTTTTGGAAAGTGCCAACTGTGGGCCTGCCAGCGCCACTTGAAGTAGAAACTTGGTTCTCCCCGTGGGTATCCCATCCCTGTACTGACCAAGGCCCAGCCTTGCTCAGCGTCTGACAAGATTTAAGTTAGAAGGCCGTAACACTGGTTTCAGGAGCAAGTTCAATGTGAATGAAATAACCCCTCCCCCTGTGTTTTTGCACTATTTATTGGGTAAAGACCAACTGCCGTTTTCACGAAGTGCTTCCTGAAGCCCAAACAATAATATTACACTTAATACAACTGAAGTAATGTAAGTCAATTTTTCTGCATACAATGAGCTCATTTTGATGTGCTGTTTAGTAATGCTTTTCACTGTCGTTTGCATGTACTGTAGAGCCGAACTTGCTAGATAATCTGTTCTCTAAAAATGGTGTTGAAGGTAAATCTGGTCTCCCGCGTGGATCTGCACGCTCCTTAGGTGTATGAACTGGTAGTTAATCTTGACAAGTGTGACGAATGACATTTCGGCACCTTTAATCTCGATGACAACAAGAGAAGTGTCACTCAGCCTGTCAGGTCACTGTTGAGTAAGTTTATGAGCATTGCTGTTAGTGCTCCATGCTTGGCTGGTTAACCTCTTTCTGCTGAATCACTTTGCTGTTCTCCCATTGTACCCTGAGTGTGTACACAGCAAGTGCAGTGAGCTATAAACATGTAAACATGGCCAAGCACTGGCATAAAGGAAGCAGATAGCAAGTGTCCTGTACTGTGCGATGTGGTTTAAATTTATTAGTATGAATAACTTTACTTTTAGTGAAAGTGACTTGCATTTATAGTTGGTTATTAAGCTGTGTGTTAGTGAAGCAATCGGGCTGAAGAGCACCAGTGACATATTCTTGTTTAAATTGGTGAGTTTCTTGACATGATTTACTCATTTAAATAAAAATGTATAACTTCAAACAGTCATTATATTAAAAGATCCTTGTTTTTAGTTTTTGATTTTGCAAATGTTCATGGCTTGACTAATGTGGAATATTCATCCCACATGTGAGCGTGGCTTGAAAACTGAAAATCTGGATACCAATTTATGTCTTATGGATATACTGAAGGACATTACATTTAATGTCTCGTGTGAAAAAAGTAAAATAGAAATAGTTGGTAGTTTAAAAAGTGTTCTGATGGTTTGAAAAAAATAATGGTAGGTGATTCTTTAGAGCATAGAAACCATCATATAAATGGAGATTAATTTGCCGTTTTTTATTTGGCTTGGTTTTATTTTAATAATTTATAAAAAAACCCATGTTGTATAAACAGTTGCTGATGAGCAAAAAAAAAACAACAAAAAGGAAAACAAACATCTTCTGCATCTCCGAGGAGTTTAAGAGAAATTTGGTGCT